GAAGCCCTCCCTTCCCTTCCGCAAGGAGCTGAGCTGGGGGGGGCGTGGCCAGGCCCTGGCAGGGCTCTTTCATTAGGGAGGTCTGCCTGCACAGTCCCAGGCTTTTTTCTGCTGGTTGCTCAAGGGGCAAGAGTGTTGCCAGCCCCCAGCCCCGGGCTAGCACTCTGAGGTGCGGGGAAGGGTAGGGGAGTGCAGTGCATCCATTTTCAAATGGTTTATGTGCACTGAGTATCTGTTCTGTTACAGGTTTAAACCAGTTTTTCATCACTTAAACCCGTTTATATGTAATGTCTGGCCCTAGCCTTAGTGTTCTCTAATCCTTAGAAATTGCATCCCTATAATTACATACCTATATTGTTCGCCCACTCCAAACCATTAATAATTATGTTAAATAATACCAATTTTTAAATAGAGTCATTGGGTATGAGGGGACTTCCCTCTGCCAACTGTTTTGCTCTTATTCCTTAGGGTATGACTCAGAGAGATGAATTTCCAAATTCTCTTCTCAAATACTTCTGCAGCATTCTCATAGACCCATTAGTCACCTTTCCTCCTTCAGTATATAAATAAGTTCCATCAGCTTTTCTTTTGTCATTTTCTTTAGTTGCTGAATCTTTTTCAGCACTCCATGAACTTTCTTTAACTTCCCAGCATGTTGCTTTATAATGAAAGGGCCCTAAATTGCATAGTAACATACCAAGGCATTATAATTTTGGTTATCTTATGCCTTTATGTATACACCCCAGGGTGGTATTGCTTTTTTTTTCCACACTAGTATTATGCTATGAGCGCATATCCAAATAGCAGAAGAACTAAACAAATTGAAAACATTATAAATTTTAGTGCTCAAATCTTTATTCAAGTTTAGCCTCTGGTCCTCAGTGAGATAAATCTCAAGTGGACAATGAAGTGATATCCGTCTCCAGTTAACATATATCCGCATCATAAAAACAACCACATAGTTGGCACTTTATTCCAGAGAGGCCCAGAACAGAGCCACCACAGAGACTGTATAGCTTTGAAGTTATTAGTGAGGCAGCATGTATTATCTCATACTGCAGTTGCTTGAGCAGCATAGTACCTGTCCTGCACATAAATAGAGGAGGCCATTTCCCAGCAATGTCACTCTCGAGCACAATGAACACCCCCACCACAAGAGGATAACAGGGAGATGGGAAACAAGTTTAACCCTACCTCTCATACAGGAAATCTGAGAACTTTTTTGGTACCCCATTTATACACTGCACTAATTTCAGGCACTGCTTTCTGAGGCAAGGGTTATTTCTATTTCTTAAGCAATGATTGTTTCATTGTAAAATGCAAAAATAGTGGCAGAAGCAGAGACTAGAGAGTAGTCCTCCTCCTGCCAGGGGTATGGCATTATCACTAGTCTGTATACCTGATGGTCCCCCTTGTTTCTTTCTCTTCTGGATCCCAACTCTTGTGGTTGTGGATGTACAGTAGCCTAGCTTTAACAGAAAGGGTGAAGAAAACCCTCATATCACTTCTTCTATAAATTGGAAATTAAGACAGTCTCTTGTGAAATCAGAGCCATGGGTTTGAATCTCCTGAGGGCAAGAAGAGCCTATCAAGCCAGATCTCCTACCCTAGATGGGTGCTTACAGCTGTAGGCAACTGAGGAAAGGATAGGGTTCCACCACTGCTTTTGAGCTGAATTTGAAGTCCTTGATATCAGTTAAGAGTGATCTGAACAACCTGGCTACTGAGTAGGGCCTCTCCAGGGACTTTGACAGAGCTTAAGCACATTTCAGCACTAATTTAAATTACAACAGAGCCTAGGCTGGAGTTAGCTAATTAGGCAATCCACCAGAATCACTTCTGAGCAAGCACAGAAGCCCTAGTATAGACTCCAAGAGAACACTACAGTATGGTGGCGCTTTCTGAATTCAAGCCACTGATGATATTTATGCCTACTGGATCAGGACCAATTTGAAAGAGTCTTTTGAACTTAGATAGCTAAACTCCATCCAAGTTCTGTTTAGATGTTTAAGAAAATGATGGTAGTGCTAGAGTGATGTTGTAGCTGCAATGTTCCAGGAATTATAAGAGTCAAGGATTTCTTAGAATGATAACTTATCACCCTAAGAAATTTTTGCCTCTTACGTAACAAAATTATAGAAGAAAACTATGGGGTTTTTTTAACAAATGAGCAACAAACCAGGAATAGGACTGAGGTTCCCTCAATTTATTCTTTTCTTCAGTACTGATCCTATGTGATGTGGCCCCCTGATCGTAGGAGGTGATCCAAATGTTCAATGCTCCACAGAAAATAAAAACCCCTAACAGTTACATTCCTTCCCAAGCTGCACAATTTTTTCTTGCTTTGTATTTTTTCTTTCCCCACCAGTAAACAGGACAGCAGGATGACGTGCTGACCTTTTCCTGCATTTAGAATCACAACAAAATGCACCAAGAGATTAGTTTCAATACAAGTCTCTCCCTTTTCAAAACTAATCTCAGTCCCTTTCATTAGAAGTTATTTTAAATAAAGGAACTGGGAAATGAAGATGTGTACGCAACTTGAGTTTACGCTATAAACCACACAGTAGTTTCAATCAGGAAATTCAGATAAAATAGGTGTGCTGTTCCATCAATCTAACCTACCTTAATGTCTTTATAAGGTTGCCATTTTTACCTAATTAATTATGTGCTTTTAATTAGGTTGTGATGGCTACTGATATACTTGCAGTGCATTTTGTTATCTTTGGCCTGAGGCAAAGCCAAAGGACATGGTTAGAGAATTTGAAACCAATTAAACTGTTCCATAGTTCCTTATCTTAATACCAGTATTATTATCAGATTGGTTTGTGAAAATGTCTCTTTTAAAAACAATACATAATGTTTACAGTTAGGTATTATTACAATTATATTACTCTTTGTTACAATGCTTAAAATCAGGACAAACACACTGTCTTCATACCAAATTTGGGTGTCTCTGTTATTTTTAACAGTCTCTATAAAATGCAAGGTTAAATTCAATCATCTAAAACGTTTCTTTCATCTAGTGGCATTTATTCCTTTCTGCATTTTTACCCTTCTCTCTATATTATTACCTATGCCAAAAGTCCCTATGCTTAAAAATGTTGATAATCTGGGACAAGATCTCAGAAATCTTTTACTATTACTTACCCTTGTAATTCCCCATGTCTTTATATGTGTTCTGCTACCAACGTCTAGTATGCAATACTGTGCACTGAACTGGTACTAAGGAGACTTGGGTTCTATTCCTATCTCTACCACTGGCTTGCTGGATTATACTGGGCAAGACACTTCACTTTGTACTTAATTTTCCATGCTGTAGAATGGAGCTAATGATACTGACCCTCATGAAATGCTTTGAGATCTGCTAATGAAGAGACAGGTATTCACATATTCCAAACCAGATCACAATAAAATCAACACAAAACTATTACACTGTACTATTTACAACAAGAGCAGGATCAGGCCATTACAAAATTATGCAGTTTAACTCATTTCTAAAGCATTAGGCTCCATGCTACATGCACTCTCATGTGTATGCATTTATTAGCCCACCAAGAAAACTGATAATTACAAGACATTTTTTTTTAACCAAGCCAGTTTGTGAAATATCCCTCTGAGTGCCATGGAAGTTTTTCCACACACTATCAATTAAACATTTTAAACCATTATGGATGTGCATAAACCTTGCCTTTATTTTTCAAGGACAAGGGTGGGTCACTAGCTCAGGAAGCCTTGACATCATTCCTCTGCCCACTCTGATTAAAGTGCCTGCGGTTGAATGTCAGCAGGTCAGATAGCACTGGAGAAGGGACTAAGAAAAACACAGTGATGCCATATTTATTAGTATATGTACCTAAAATAATTTAAATGATTTTTTTTTTATTAAAAATACTTAATGGAGGTTAAGCGGCATTTTTAACCTCTCTTCAAGTTATCAAATGACATATTAAAACCAATAGGGCTCTAATGCACCTTCTAATGTGCACTGCTGCTTTAACAGATTGCCTACAAATTTAAGTAAAACTAAATCTACCCTTTTAGCACTCATACTAAGGTTAGATTAATAATAAATGTGCTTTCACTATATGCAACTCTTTTCTAAATCACAAAAACACAAAATAAAACTACAGTCCCATCCACCTGTAATGAATTGTTAAAGTCCATTTACATCAATGTAGTATGAAATTTTGAATTGTTTCAAAGCATTGCAATGTACTAACTATGATTTCAGTTATTTCCAGGGCCAAAACTTGCTAAGCCCTCTAGAAAACTAGCATACTTCCAACATGTTAGCACAAGCAAGGGTACTTAAAACAAGTTTTTCCCAGCTTTGGCAGCCTATTTGTCAACTGTTCATACAAACCTCTCTGCACCTTTCTCCATGCTGACCCTTAGATAAGGAGCAACCTTCCTGAACTAGTCTGTGAGGAGACCACTGTTGAAATCTCTCCTCAGGATTCCCCACTGGTTATTTTCTTATTAGTATTGCAGAAATTTATTATGGCTGTGCTGAGTAGCAGATAGAGATAGTTGTCATTTCTTTTAATACCAATAATTTAACAGCACACATATGCATATCAATATATGTATTTGATTATTTTAGCCCTTTTTCAAACCAGATATAATTTATAATTTATTGGCTATAAACTCATATTTTTTCAATATCAGTACAGAGCCGAATGTAAAACTGACCTTTGGCCGCTACTATAATACTATAAATATCAAATAATTACAATTTCTGGCTCTCAGTGGGCTAAATATCCATCACTGTGCAAGAGACTTTTTCTTTACTCATACCTGTCAAATCAACAGTAACAGAGGACATGTACTTCTGCAGGAAATCAAGCTTTAAGTAAGAGGTACATCAAGCCCTAGGCCCTGGTGCCTCATATCAAAAAATATAAGGTCAATGACTAAATATAATAAAGGAAGAAGGCATATACTCTGAGTTTTTAATACAACATACTGTAACAAACATTTTATTCAGCTTTTCTTACCTGGTTTGCACTGATTACACCTTCTTCCTTGACGATTAGGGAGGCATACACATTGTCCACTAATCTGGTCACAAACTGTTCCTGCTAATGTTCCCAAGGGGTCACAATCACAAATCTGGCAGCCGAGAGGGTTGCTAATAGTGAGATTGTACATATGAGACACACACAGATTGCACTGATGGTCAGTTGCACCAGCTTTGCAAGGGCATTGTCCTGTTGATTTGTCGCAGAGCAGAGCTCCATTTATTGTACCTGCCTTATCACAGTTACATGGCAGACAGAAGAAGGAATTATTTTGTTGTACTTCATAGTACCCATCCAAGCATTCATTACATTGCCTTCCTCTGACATAAGGTTTACATACACATTGCCCGGTTTTAGCGTTGCACACAGTTCCAAAAAGTGACCCTGAGACGTTACACTTGCAAGCCTTACAGCCAGTAGCATCCAACCCATAAAAGTTGTCCATGCAGGTGTCACACTGAAGTCCCTTTACTTCACCTTTACAATTGCATTGTCCAGTAAAAGGGATGCAAAATTGGTTCACTGAGCCATTGATGTTGCACTGACAGGGATCACATCCATCTTCATTGACATTTCTGAGAGTTTTAAATCCAAAATTACAATGATCACACTTGAGACCTGACAAGAGAAAAATTATTAATAAAAAAAGAGGAAGAAACAAATTTGATATACACCATATATTTTTAAAACGTGCTGAAGTCTTTGCTCACCACAATATTTAACAGGACCCACAAGGAGATGCCTATACAAAGTCAACACAAACAATGGTAACTAATATAACAGTTATTTCTTTTTTATATTTTGTCTAGATACAATGTGTGTTGAGGGGGGAGGCTTTTAAATGTGGCTTTTAAGATATATGAGCAAAAGATTTCAAAACTTAAAAATACTTCTAACTATATCTTATGTGCCCACTTGTTACACAGACTTTCTCCCTAACTACAAGAGGTGCAATTCAAACTGAATGAAAGAAAGACGTGCTGGAGTGTTAATGCATTTTTCATAAGAAATACATATAAACACACTCATGGACATGGTAAACAGAACTAATGACAATAAATGAGTTTTACTTAACATCGCACTTTAATTTTAATATTTATTTCATTATTATTAAATTATTATTGGCCCTTATTGAATACAGAAAATTATTTCCATTATCCAAAATGAAATAATACTTCTAAGTTGGTTGGCTCCTACAGTTCATTAAAAAAATAAACTTTTTTCTTAATTCTGGATACTGTACATCTGTTAGATTTGTTTTCAAAGTCATTGTTTTATCCCTGCCTCAGGGGTTGCATTTGAGTTTTAGTTTATTAAACGTACATCAGAAGAAAATAAACTCGATTATGCGAGAAATGCTAAATCACTTGTATGTGTTTTCCCTTGCAATGGGAAAATCTCTCACTGTGAAGCCATTTTTTAATTGTTGCATCCAGTAAAAGAAAAAAAAAGTCCTGTGTTCTAACAAAGCATTTCCATCCTTTAACAAATACATAAACATACGACAATACATTTAGAAACTCATATGTAGAAAAGCATCTCCTGAAATGGTAGGAAATGCATTATATATATGGATAAAAACTCAAGCACTTCAACAGAAGGCAAGTTCCGTTAACAGTGATGAATGACTCACCTAAGGCATATCATTTAATTTCAATAAGGAAAATAAAAAAGGACCACTATTGCTGCAAATTTTAAAAATAACTGTATTGTTAACAAGAATTATGACTCATTTTGAACTATTAAAATTGGTCTACATGGATTCATATCATATCAGTTTTAAAAATATGCGCAGTGCTTATTTGAATATGCCATACATATTCCTGACAGGTAATCTATTCCTAACGATACTGAGGAAGGCCTACAGGGCATCACATTCAATGTTAACAAGTACAGGGGAGTTAGCACACTTGGCATTTAATTCACATTCTTCTACCTTTTTATTCTAGATGAATGACCTACTTTAATAAAATTATTGGTGCTAATGTATTTTACTGGTGATAGAATCATTAGTAAGATTTAACAGTTGTGTTAACTCTAACAGTTCACGTTCCATAACACTGCGGTACTCAGTTGCATTTCCTGTTATCACATTTGTTGAAATAGATAAAATGACAATAGATGGAGGTTACTTGTAAACCAAGCTTTAAAAAAAATTCAGTACATGTCTTCAAGATGTAGCTTTCCCTTGTAAAAGGTCAATGCACAGTTTTGGTAAATTGCATTTATCTGCATGCTGCAATAATATGCAGAAAAATATTGAGTAATTTATGAAAACAGGAAAAGGGACTCTAGTCTGAAATGTTTTAATACCCTCTCCTATCAACTTTTAACCACTTGCTTAACTTTAAGTGCATTAGTAGTTCCACTGAAATCAAATAAATGAACATGATTATAGGTGAGCTTGTGCAAGAGTGTTTGCAGGATTGCATTTCATACATAATTTTTGTCGAATAAAACCTTTCTTGATGGAAATAAAAATCATCCCAAGCATTCCCATCAATAGCATGGAAGTACTTTAAAGCACAAGTAAGTGAATAAGAAAGAAAGGTTCTGATCCTGTATTCCTTGAATACCTCAAATCACAGTAAAAAAAAATTGGAAGCTTTTGGATATACTGGGAATTCAGAATCGGGCCACATGCAAATATACAAAATACAAATACAATTTAGAATTGTTTGAAAATTCCAGTTTGACCATATATTTGACTAAATTTTAAGAGGTATTTACTGTTTACATGGAAAAAACCAGGTAAGGTAAGGTTGGTTTTTACTCTGCAAGGCACTGAGCACCTCCTTCGGCATGCTGACCATCTTTTATTTCACATCATAGGCAATGGGAGCTGAAGTCACTCCTTCAGGAAAGAGGCTCAGAGTCACATAGAATGAGGAACTTTGAGAGCAACATTTTTATGTATTACTATTTCTTCTTTGCTTATTTTGGAAATTCCAGTCATACTAAAGAAAAAAGAGCAATAGCTTGAAAACATCTGTGATTCAACCTTTTGGGGCTTCACTTTTGCCCTATGGCTATGAGATTTCCCTCTTCTAAATATATGGTAGAGATTAACAGGAATTGTATGAGAAGAAATTAAAATACTTTCAACATTTCAAAGTATTTCTCATATCTGCAGACAGCCATGGTTATTTTCAGAAAGCACACAGACAATGGTTAAAATAATAAGGAAACGGTGAAAGTGAGCTATGTGTATGGTCTGAGTCGTATGGTCTGAGACATATACAGTTACCATGCAGAGCTCACTTTATCAGGAAATTCTCCTTGCATAATATTCCCATACATCAACATTTCAAAATGTATTATATACACTGTGTATTTTGGGTGCTTGATAAATTTTGTCCTTATGTGGCTGTGGCTCCCCTCAAATATGCTGGAAGTAATAAATTGCTATAATCAAATCTAATTTCTGAAAAATACCTGTGGGAGTAACAAACAAAAAAGCACGTCTTGTAAAAAAATGATAAATAACACAGAAGGTAGCAGTTTATTATAATCAGCTTGGCATTGAATTACAAAATTAAAATTATGTGGCCCTTGATAAGTAACCCTAGCAATGTACATGATCTGTGGAATTATGTTGACTTATTTTGCATTTCATAGGAACAGTTCAAAGAAATATAATAGAAAAAATGGAAAGATTTATCACAAAGGACCCTGTAGCACAGAATATTTTGAGGAAAAAAAATCCATTTATTTTGGTCTATTAAGAAAACTAGCATGGAAATGATTTGCTTAGAACTCATTAAGTATAAAACATTTTGAAAAAGTGCTAATTTCCTAAAAGGAACATCTATGCAGTAAGCAAATTATATTATTTTGGTGACTTATTAGTATAGAGCTATGTGAGCGAATGCAGCTACACCATAAAAAAACTTCTAAAGGGTTGATTAAACTAAGCTTCAAGCTGTAGTGTGATAGAATTATTAAATTAATAAATTTTAGACAGTTAATTTGATTCAATTTTTTTAACGTGCCTTCAGCAACAGAAATTTACTCTACTTCTCAGTTTAGAAATCAAGTGTTTTATTTCCAGCAGATAATAAGAAATATGGCTGAAAACTCTTGCAATACACATACCAATAACATTTGCTTTGCAGTTGCACTGGCCTGAATTTTGGTGACAGGTAATATCTCCATTGACTGTCCCAGAGGTATTACAGTTACAGGGACTGCAGCCATCAGGTTCTGACTGTTGTAGATTGTAGAATCCTTCCTGGCACTGATTGCACTGTCTGCCAGACACATGTCTCTTACAATTACACTGGCCTCCAATCTAGAAAGATACAAAATATTATAGAATGATGAACATATCTATTTTTAGATGATACACTCATTAGCGGCAAGGGCGGGGGTATGAGGTGGGGAGGAGATCACTTTAAATGGAAACAGAAAAAATAGGTCTGTGTAATACAAACAGTATTTTACTCACTGGGAAGAAAAACTAAGAGAAATATTAAGCAAAGAGCATGCATATAAAAGTTCAATTAAAATAAATCACAGAAAATTGTGTAGGGTGGAAAAATAACAATAGTGAGTTAGTCACAAATTAGGCATAGAACCTTTCAAAGGAAAACAGTTACAGGACAATATTAGTCAAGTGAAATTTCTCTTAAAATAGAACTGAGGCATACTTTTTACAAAATAGCATATCATTTCAAAACGGCAGATCCTTTAGTTTTTACTCTGAAAATGCTTCAATTTACTTTGATGGGAAGAAACGCTGAAAGAGACAGGACTACAGATTGCAGGATTTATTCAAAAATAAAGTTGCATGATTAGGAAGGACTAATCTGTGTATTTTGTAAAATTTCCTTCACCCGCTTTGGTTAACAACTGTTGATTTTAATCCTTATTTGCTCTTTACTCCTGATTTATAGCCATAAAAGTGATTCTCACTGTTTCAATAATTTGCCTACCAATTCTGTAGAATGTATTCAGCATTGCCGAGTCAATCAAGAAGAATCAATTAATTACATAAAGCCAAAATCCATTTTCCATACTCATATAAGCTGGCTGACTCTTCTAAATGCTGTAAAATTCATATGTATACTTGAATTTCCCTGAAATATGGTTTGTGCCCTGGGAGTGGAGGCATATGTTCAGCTTTGTGTTTGAAACTCAGGGTTATTTAAGCAAGTGGCTTTCATGTGCCATACTTCCTCTCTCCTCTTCCCCTACCACCCATGTAAAAAAAATAAGAATAGCTTGAAGTTAGCTAGATTCTACTAACTTTATTTTTCACACATCAAAGATAAAACCGCTGCTCAGACTACTCTAAACACTCTCAGATGTCCAGTATTTGCTTTAACTAGTTCATGGCACCCACTACACCTTCTGGGGAGCAAAACTGAAAACAATATTCAGGTAGGAGATGGGTTCTTTGGATAGGCAAATGCTTAATGCTCATCAACTCAATGGATTATACTGAGTACGTGTGAACTAGGTAGATAAGAAGCTTTCAAGTCTGTCAGTTTTCACATGAGCTGAGTAGCTCAGGGGAATATACAGGAGTCCTTGAACCTGACCTACATCCACCAGTGTCAGTTTGAATCTAACTTTTAACAGAAATCTGGAGGGGGGTGGGGGAAAGGAAGGCATCTTGCTACAATCTGCCTTTATCAAAATTTCTGGTTTGGGGGAAGGGGTAGTAACTGTAATCTGAGAACAGTAAATAAGTCAGAAGGTGCTGGGCTGGATAGGTTAAGGGGGAGGAAAAAATAAGGAGGGGTGGGAGAGGACCTGGCAGGGTCAGGTTGAGAGCTGGTATGACAATTAAAGGAGGCAAGAGGAAAGCACCCAGAGGTGATATATGGGGGTGGTTGGCAACCTAAATTGGAGGAAAGAGTAGTATGGACCCGTATTAGCCCCACATTCTACTCTACGTGTGTACACAAGGATCTGGGGTCACCCCTGGGGATGTATCAAACCTCCACCCTACCCTCCCTCCTGATCTGCAGGTTCCCTGTCCTTCTGGGTGTGTCTAAACTGTTTTCCTTGCTCCCACATGTGAGCTGGGGTATGGAAGGTCCTCTTCCTCTGGGGAAGGTGTTCAAGGCCCTTTCATTATCCCTTCATATTAGCTAGAATCTGGGAAGCCCAGTTCTTCTAGGGGTGTGTAGCCCCACTCTCTGTCCTCCTCTCCCCCAAGGAGCTGAGTCCCTCTTCCCATCTCCCATGTAAGATGGCATCTGAGTAAACCCTGCACCTTTTTCTAGGAGGGTGAAAACAAACATGCCAGAAATATGCATCCAGCACACAGTGGTAAGACTAGGCTTAGGAATGGAGAATAATTGAGAATGCTTGATAGATATGAGAGGAATACAAGAACTGGTGGGATGAGAGCATCCAGTGAGATGAATGGAGCCATTCATTGATTTCAGAGCTACTGTTTCAGGCCTTATTTATGTCCGCAGGGTGTTTTCACTCAGTCAGAACCTTGCATTGAGATGCATGGTCCACTTCTACCTCTCTGAAAAAAACTCTTTCCTGCTTTTTTCAGAACTCTAAAATCCCAAATCTTATTTGGGCTGCCTTGAAATTTAGTGTGCCCCATGGAGGTTCAGGTTAGGTTTAGTAACCCTGATTTGGGCTCGTTTGACAGAGGGATCTTCATGATAAAGATCACACTTGCAAAAAAAATTTTATAAAGAAAACCATCATTCAGAAGGTTGCCAAATTCTACCATTATTTTTGTGTGGACTTGGGGAATCAAACCATGGTTCTGAATGGATCCAAGGGTATCAATCATTAAACATTTATGCCAACTAGTATACAGGACCTCTTTGAAGAGACAATATGGAACACAATGCTCAAAAAGAAAAGCTCCACAAAAAGATGTGAGCATAATGTTTCAGCAGTAGCAATGCCTAGGTGGTGCGCAGGGGTACACGTGCACCGCCTGAGAGCACTGGTGCACGCCCTGACCAGCCGCATAGGCAATGGGCAGGTGGGGCAGGCGAGAGCATCAGTGTTCCCACTGCAAGCACCAGCTGGGGGTGGGAGTGCCAGATGTAGCACAGCGGCCACTTCCGGAAGCACCGCAGCCACTTCCTGGTTGGTGAGTTTTGCCACGGGGGGACCTCCCCCTGACCCTTGGTCACTGGCTGGCCACATTTGCCCCTCCTAACTAAAGTGGCATCAGTAGCCCATGTGCTTCAGAGTTGGTCCCTGCCCCTTTCAGGTCTGTGTCAGCTAGAATGTTGCAGCTGCTGTCCCTTTAATGGTGGTTGAGCCCCCATCGCATGGGGCATCTATATATGTGCTCTGGGGTGGAGGGAGGGGCGCTTTAATTAGAGCTGCTCTGAGAGGCCTCTAATTAAAAAACCCACAGCGTCACATGTATTCAGCATCCCATGCTTCAAAATGGCAGCAGGGGCACTTTAACTAAAACTTATTCTATGACCTTTAGTTAAAGTGCTCCTGCCACCATTTTGAAGCATGGGGACGCTGAATAGACATAATGCAGAGGCTGCTCTGACACATGCTACTTGGCATGCATCAGAGCAGGCATCTAGTATACATGCCCACGGAGTCCAAAATCCATAGTCACCTTGCCATTATGGGAAGGCTTGATCCCTTCTTTCTCTGTTCTCTGCATGTGCTGGAACCTGAGAAGGCCCTGCCCACTTAATGCTGTGATCTAAGTCCCCTCCCATATGAGTTGGGGCCCAGGCTTGCCCTGAAGAAAACCCAAATGTTAAACCCCTGGAAACTTAATTAAAACCTCTGGAAAACTAATACAAAATTAAAATATGGATGATCCCCTTGTGAGATGCTGGGACAAGCCAAACATAAAGGGAGGTGGTAAGAGTGGAGGGGAGCTAACTAGGTAGGCTAAAGGCACAGGGAGGGCTGATCAAGCTGGGGACAGACAGAGTATGGTAAGCTTGTGGGGTCTGGTTCAGTATAGTGGGGCCCATAACTAAGGTAGCATGCAGCCATGTGATAAGCTTCTACTAATATTATGAGTATGCAGCAGCAGTGTCAGACAGCAAGAAGCAACTTTGTGTATGCTTCTAACATTAAAGGTTTAAAATAGGCATACCAAATTCATTGGGCCTCATGGGCTGGATGAGTAACATGGAGGCAGTCTGTGAGCTAGACTGGGCCCAGAGACCAGCCTGGCACACTGAGTGCAGCACATGCCCCAGACCAGCTGTGTGTGTGCATGCAGTGTGCACCAGACCAGCAAATGTGTGGCCAGGCCTGATGTGCGCTGAATACAGCATTTGTGTCCAGTCCAAGATCCTCAGGCCGCATGATAGGGCTGCGTGGGCAGGAACTTGCCTGTGGACCATAACTTTGATGCCCCTGGTTTAAAGGAACAGGCAGCAGAGAGTTACCTGGAAATATGGAGATACAGAGCTATCTGTTGCAGGCAATGGCTAGATGAGGTGATAGAGAGAAAGAGAGAGCATGCATAAGCAACTCTAGCTATCAAGTAGCAAAACTGTTGCATTTTGAAGAGACTGATATCTATGATTTCTCTCACCAGCCCTGTTAGCAAATACACGCCCTAACCATTTCAACACAAGACCGTAATACAAATTGCATAATGAATAAGCACATAGGACAGTGGAGCAGCATTAGGAATCACAGAGCATCCTTCACCTCTACCTAGTTACATTTGCATCTCAACTGAAAAAGTATTTATTGAATAGAAATGCATGCATAACCACTCCTACAAAGGACAGTTTTCTTTCATTAAAAAAACAGTAAATTCATTGCCAAATCTTCATTAAGAAATCTGCTTGATGGTAATTTATGACCTTCCACAACATTAAAGTTAAATGAAACTCAAACTTCCTAAAACCAGGAAATGAAGAGTTAATGTATTTCAAATACAAATGTAGAAAAAAAAGGGAAATAAGCTCACGTGGCCTTAACTCTATATTTCTAGAACCACTGATAACCAATGTATTCAGCAGTGTATTGATTGCTAACTGGTAGAAGAATGAGTCAGAACAGAGCTGTGATTCCAGTATGACAGTCATGCTCCTTTGGAAGCAGTCTGAATGTCTCCCCAATACTAATGATCAAAGGAATGAGGTATATATGTTACTTGAGAGAGCCAACAAGCTTTATTGCTGCACTGAGTTGTGTAAGCTGTGTTAGTAGTGAGGCCCAGGTGAAAAAAAAAACACTTTTGCAAAAATAATAATAATAATAATTTAGCACTGTAGGCCCTAGAAGCCCTTGGCTGCCTCCATTATCTTAATCCATTCCTGTCATTGCGTACCTTCTTCCAGTTATCCATATTTCATTTCTGTAAGT